GAGTTAATGAAGCCCTTACGCAAGTGATAAGATACATAAATTGCTCTTACTTAGATCAAGACTGCGTATAAACCCACTTGCCCCACAAAAAGTGAAAAGATGACATGCTACATACAAACGAGATTGAAGTATCTAAATTTCCAATGGTAAAGAGGTGCCTACACACATAGAAAGAGCTACAAAGCATCGTCCTTAAATACTAATACCTTAATTCTTTTTTGGACGATTGTTCTCTTTGTTTCATGATTAATCTAGTGACTGAAATGAAGTTAAGAAATTTCTTAAATATTTGACTAATAAACATGGTCCGAACTTGCAAAGGTAATTCCTCGTTAAATGTACAACTTAAAGACAGAATTTTACTATGCTATATAGTATTGGTGCTTTAATGTACAACTTGAAGTTGTACCATAACATTAAATGTACAAGTTTAGGTTGTACCATAAAGGAATTTGTATAATTATGTTATGGTACAACTTTACAACTTGAAGTTGTACCATCACATAAGGTACAAGTTTAAGTTGTAGCATAAAAAAATTTGTACAAAAAGTATAGGTACAATCTGAAGTTGTACCATAACATTAAAGGTACAATTTCAAGTTGTACCATCTATCTATCTATCTATCTATACATAATATTATGGCAATTCAAAAGTAGTTTGTTGCCACATAAGCATTTGGAGAATTTACAAGGTGCCATGGTGGACACTTTTTTTTTACAAACAAAAAAGTTGGTTAATGATCAATTAATGTAGCTATATCTATCTTCTTTTAATATTTTCTTTTTATTTTAATGATCATTTATGTAGCTATCTCTATTTTCTTTTAATTTTTTTTTATTCAATAATAGTTTTTTGCAATATATATGCGTAGCAGCAGTATACTAATGTTTGGATAGTGACATATTTTGTAATCTTTTAAAAAATATATTTGATTAAATCTGATTAATTAATTTTTATTTTTAATTTATTAGAACTCAATATAGGTTATAATGAAGGGAGTTTAGATAATCAACATTTAATAATTAATTGAATTTGAAAAACCAACTATAATTTTATTTTTTAGTTATCAAACACTATCTTTTTCTAATGATTGTATCTATCAACAAAAACAAATATTAAATAGCAAAATGCTTTAAAAGTTGTTTTTTTCATTTTGATAGAAACTTGACCAAACCATAATATAGTACTTGATTTGTGCAAATGAAGATGATAAAGAAAGACAACTTTTCTTCTATCTTATAATGCATGCTTCCATACCTTATTTTGTCTTATATTTGTTCATATTTCCCCTTATTTTTCTTAACAATTTACATATTTCGGTCAAACAAAGGTGTTAATTACACTTAAAAATACATTAAACTCTTTATATTTTATATGTATATTATGACATACATTGAATAAGAAAATGATATCTAGACCTTGAATTGACTGGAGTTTGGCATATGATATTATTCTCAAACCCTTAAAGATTAAAATCTAGCTCTTAAATTTATAAATCTCATACCCTATGATCAATTTAATTATAAAAAAAAATCAACGGTCATGATTCGTCAAAAATCAAAATATATGCAACAAATTACATGCACAATCTTAGGGGTTAAGCTCTATGATTTAGATAACTAAGACCTAGGGTTCACTCATAAAGGGTTAGGGTATAGTATCATGCCCACAAATTTGGTTAATTCGTGATCCAAATAGTGTTTTCTTACTTAGAGTATAGTATCATGCTTAGATATTGACAATAGATGTGGCATTACACCAACAAAATGAAGATATTAGTATAAGTAATGGAATTTTTATCCAAAACAAACACCAAAGATCAATCAATTTTAGCAAATGCATATTTGATAAGTTAGAAAATTATACACCAGTGGACCATGTTAAGATTAGAACCCTCGACAGTGTGTGAGTATCTTGGATCGAGATTCTAAACAACGACCATGAGTTGAGGGTAAGTCTAAATTAAACTTCATGAATTAACAATGGGTACATATTGTATAAGATATTAAATTGAGTGTCTTGATCAACAAATATGATCTTACACTAAGACAATAAACTTTCAATTGGGATGACCAAATTTATCTAATATTGAAGTACCTTTATAAAATAAATTCTAACTAAGTTGTCGACATCTGCAACATCATTGGTTGAGAGTTCGTCCAAACTCAAGATTCATTTAATGGCATATATTGTATAAGATAATAAAAAATTGAGTATCGTTGTTGACAAAGCTTGAAATAAGATTCTATATGGGACGTGATATATCTTTGTGACATGATTTATGATAAGAGAATCGAAGCATCATAAGTGAATGTGCTAAGTATTGAGAATTTTTAATTTATAGACGCACCGCGTACTCACGTATAAATGCAAATGTAAAAAATTTAGAAGATCCAAAATAGTTTAAACATATAGATAAATTGATTAATTTAAATGATAAAATGAAAATCACCGGCCAACGGGCTAGGTAAAAAGCTAGTAAAGGTAAAAACCTATAGCACCAATGCTATATAGCATTGTAAAATTCCTCATTTACCAATGATAGTGAGGATAACTCAACAAAATAATTAGTAGAAATGCAATTGAGTGTCCACCGAAATCAAAACCTAATTCCTTTTCCTCAACTCTCCCTTCACTCTTTCACTTTTTTCCTCGTGTCAGCAAGATTATATTAGTTAGTTATTACTTAGTAGATGTATTAGAGTCAGAGAATAATGATTTGGATTACATTGTACTCTATCTTATGAATTGATGGATGTTTTAGGATAAGATGTTTTAGACCATATTAAGAATGATTGTCATTTTATCGACTTCATGGATATAGTATGTGCATTTAATGTTCAATTGAAAATTTATATGTAAAATTTAGGCATTATAATGGTGGATGTGCGGGGCGGGTATTACCCCATGGGTACCCGAAACCCAGGGTATGGGGATGAGTTTGGAAAACCTTCCCCGCATGGGTATGGGCGGGTATGAATTTGAATATTTGAAAGTGGGGATGAGTATGATTTAGACAAACCCACCTCATTGTCATCCTAGTATTAGGGGTGGAAATTGGGGTGGGTGTGGTTACCCGCCCCACATTTTGCGGGTACCCACACTCACAAATTTACAATTATGCTACCCACAACCCGCACCGCAGTGGTTAGTGGGTAACCACTACCCACTGTGGGTTTGTGCGGGTTGGGTGTGGTTACCCGCAAAAATCCATCTTTGCAAGCATAGATTTCTAGTCGCCACTAACGTATTTGTTGTTCGTAACTAGACTATAGTGATATACACTTGTGTTGTTCGTGGAGATACAATTTTGTACATCGATCTTACTCAACGTGGAGATTTTTTCTTTTTGAGTTTGGTATTCAACTTTTGTGTTAGAGAGCTGTGATTTCATATTTCCCCTGACTAGGGGTGAATATGACAATTAAATATGATCTTGTATTTTTTTCACACAAAATCAAAAACATACTGATAAAAGTTACAAAAGGCGTTCACTTTTAATGAATTAATTATTCTTCACTCTATCGATTATAGTGTTTTATAAACTAAAAAATTGGTACATAAAACTGATTAGGTGTGTCTTTTTTATTTGGTGGCTACTTTAATTTTTATCCTCGCACTTTTCACATACTGTTAAAAACACGCTGCTACGGATCGGGAAATCGCCAGAATCGACAAAGCAAGAATACGAAAGCGAGAATCGAAAAACACAGACACACGATTTACGTGGTTTACTAACACGATGTGTTAGCTAGTCCACGGGCGAGAGAGAGCCAGTTTCACTATATCGAGGAGATTACAGATTACAAAGGAGTATGAGAAGTATTTATAGTACTTCTCCATGTGGGTCTAAACCTAATCCAATCTGGCAAAGGAAACGGTTACAGACCAGGCCTAGAACCCGAACCCAAATAACATTGAGACCCCTGATTACCAGTCGTAGCGGCTGATAGTCCGATTCAAGTCACATCAACACATACTATTATATTATAAAATTAATTCACTAAATAAATATAATTAGTGTAGTTATTATGAATTTTGTAGGTTAACAGTAGTGAATAGTAGATAACTCCTAACCACAAAAATCGTTATTTTACTACCCGCAACCAAACTTCCACCCCTACGTAGTATTACGAAGCTATTAGCATTGCAAAGTCTGAACTGTAAACTCACCTCGCCAAATGGTCGGGGGTGGGAAGCTACTTATTAATTAAATAGTGGTTATAGTTTGAAAAAAGCAGGCGGGACGGGAGGAAGAGAATTATTGTATTGAGTGGGCGACGGGGAAGGAAGGGGAAATCAAGTCTACTGTAGTCGGGTAGTGGAGTGGGTTTGGTTTGACTAAAGTGCCTTTCCTTTCCCACCCTGCTTCTGCCGCTCTGCGTCCAAAGTCCAACCCTACAAAACCACAAAACGACAACTGGAAATAATATAACCCTGCCCCTCCGCTATAGTTTAAAATCTTGGTTTTGCTGGTTTGGTTTGGTTGGGTTGGGTTAGTGCGGCTCTTGCCTGCCACCGTGGCCAATTCCATTGGATTAGTTTCTTTGTGTTTTCTTGTTTTGTTTTGTGTGTTTAGTAGTTGTAATGATGATTCAGACACACATGCCAGTCAGTCAATCTCCCCGCGATTACCGGCCGGTTAGTAATTGTAATGATGTTTCAGGCACACAGGCCACTCAATCTCCCCCGCGATTACCGGCCGGGTGAATGAAATGAATTTCCTTTCCTTTCCTTTCCTTTCTTTTCTTTGGCTACCAGAGCAGTCGAGGAGTTAGAATTTAGAACAATGTTGTCCTGTCCATATTGTACTGGTTTAGCAACTGATATATTCAGTTGGATTGGATACAATCAGTTCATATAATGAAAAAGAAAAAAAGGAGGAAAAAAAAAAAAAAAACATTCCCTCCTTCCTTCCAGTGAGTCTACAAAACAAAACAATTGCTGCTTCCGGTTGCGGGTATAAAAACTTGTCTGTTTGGGGAGCTGTTCGAATTTCGTTTCTCGTCACAAATAATTAAATTATTGCTGATTATTAAATTACCATCTCCTTCCTTTCCTCCCTCCCTCCCAATTCCATCTCTCGCTCGCTCTCTTTCTTTCCTGGTTCCTCCTGAATGTGACGACTCGGAGTCCCTCCTTCCTTGTCACTCTCGACTCCGGTGCCACTGCGGCGCCGGCAATCCTGTCCTGGGTTCACTTCCAACCGGTCACTCTCCCTCAAATGGGCTGCGTCACCTCCAAGCAGGCCGTCTCCGTCACCCCGGCGCTCGATCATTCCGGCCGGATCTGGGTCGGCGACAAACCTGCGAATCTCAAAGACAACAATGCTGATGTGGTAGCAGCTTGCGACTTGGGCGACTCCGGTCGTGCCAGCTCCAACGCGGACTCCCTCAGTTTTCGATTGAGGAATTTGCACAGCTACGTCCAAGGGGAGCAGGTCGCCGCCGGCTGGCCCGCCTGGCTCAGCGCCGTCGCCGGCGAAGCCATTCACGGCTGGGTCCCTCTCAAGGCCGATTCCTTCCAAAAATTGGACAAGGTTGTTTCAATTTCCTTCTCTTTTATTTATTGGTTCATTGATACAAACAGAGAGAAAGAAAAAAAAAAAGACATTTCGTGGTTCTCCATGAATCGAATTGCACAGGAAAGATGGCTGCTTTCAAAGGGGCTATTTTGGATTTTGATTGATAGGAAAGTGTTGTCATCTTAAGAATTCCGCATGCCTAAACTTTTGCCTTATTCAACTACTTCTGGAAAGGAACGGCTGCACATTATTATTATTAATGTCACCAAATAGGAATCAGGAAATTGAATTTTCCCTTCCATCTGCACTTTGCCACATTGCAGCGATGATGGATCTTCTCGTATCCCTCCCTGTCTTTGATTTGCTTTAGCTGGATGCTTATATCAGCTAACCGCTTGGTTTCCCCTCTTGTTTCAATAGATAGGCCAAGGTACATATAGCAGCGTGTTCCGAGCAAAGGAGCTTGAGACTGGGAGGATTGTTGCTTTGAAGAAGGTCCGGTTTGACAATTTCGAGCCCGAGAGTGTGAGGTTTATGGCAAGGGAGATTATGATCCTTCGCCGGCTTGATCATCCCAATGTCATGAAATTGGATGGATTGATTACTTCCCATTTGTCCTGCAGCATATACCTAGTGTTTGAGTATATGGAGCATGACATTACTGGGCTGCTTTCTTGCCCGGATGTCAGGTTTACCGAGTCACAGGTTAGTTCCCCTCTTCTGCTTTGAATTTTCATCTTCTGGCTGGCATATATGTTTTTGTGCTTGTGCATTCAAATATGTTTATGTGGTATGTTTTTGTTTCTTTCCCCCCCTCCCCTCTGCAGATCAAGTGCTACATGAAACAGTTATTGTCAGGAATTGAGCATTGCCATTCCAAAGGTGTTATGCATAGGGATATTAAAGGTTCCAACCTTCTTGTAAACAACCAAGGGGTTCTGAAAGTTGCAGACTTTGGGCTGGCAAACTTCTGTACTTCTGGGAATCGGCAACCTCTGACCAGTCGAGTGGTGACTTTGTGGTATCGCCCTCCTGAACTCTTGCTTGGTTCAACAAATTATGGATCATCTGTGGATCTTTGGAGTGTTGGCTGTGTATTTGCTGAACTTCTCCTTGGCAAACCCATTTTGCAAGGACGAACCGAGGTAAATCACCTGCCTCACTACATCACGTACAGCTTGTCAAGTAATGTCTGAAACGAGTTTTGTCAATAGTTAGTTTCATTCTTCTTCTTCTTCTGCTCATGATGATCAAACTAACAGTTTTCAGCTGCAGAGAACTCTCATATTATTTCCTACTCTAGTTGATACTGACTAATCTGTTTTTGACTGGCATTGCTTCTCATTCAGGTTGAACAGTTGCACAAAATTTTCAAGCTGTGTGGGTCCCCACCTGATGAGTATTGGAAAAAGTCCAAGCTACCTCATTCCACCTTGTTCAAACCGCAGCAACATTATGAAAGCTGCCTTCTCGAGACCTTTAAAGATTTACACCCTAGTGCAGTGAGTCTCATCGACACTCTACTGTCTGTGGAGCCATACAAGCGTGGAACTGCCTCGTCTGCTCTTTCATCCGAGGTCAGTATTATTTTTCATCATCTATTCTTCGGCACGAATAATGCCATCTTTTCATGCAAGTGAATGGCCAAACAAATTCAAATTTCTTTCTCATGCTTTTGCAAGTGTTCAGTTTTCACCACTGGCATTTCTAATTCAGTTTAGTTTTTACCTGAATCTTCAGTATTTCACCACCAAGCCTCATGCTTGCGAACCAGCTAGCCTGCCAAAATACCCTCCTAACAAAGAAATTGATGCAAAGAACCGAGAGGAAGCTAGGAGGTAAGATGCTGCTAATCTTTCTCTTTAGTTTAGGATTCTTTTGGCTTTCCATATGCCCTGACACGGACGAGACGTACTAGTTGTTTGTTTGGTTCCAAACCAAACCAAACCAAACCAAACCAAACCAAACCAAACCAAACCAAAGTTCCTGACTCGTGTCTTTTCTGTGGCAACTTTGGATTCCAGGAAAAAGATGAGTGGGAGAAATCGTGGTTGTGAAATGAGAAAGCCAGCAGCACGCAAACCTTGTCCAGTCAACATACTGGGACCAACAGAGGTCTGTGGTCGAACTCTGTGTCTCCTCCGTCTGTTTCCCGCTATTTCTTTCAGGAGCCTGCCATTCACTTCCTTCCCATGCTCCAGGACCATCTGACAGCTCGAGGACACCAATGTGGTCAAACCATCATCACTAGCAATGGCTGCTCTCTTCCAAATGGAAGACGAGATACCACCAGGTCAAACATGGATGCAAGAAAACCTTCACTTGAGAAATTGGATGAGGTTTTCCATGTCAAGAATGCATCCCAGGGAGACATTCCCTTCTCTGGGCCTTTGCAAGTTTCCACTTCTAGTGGCTTTGCCTGGGCAAGAAGGCGAAAGGATGATGCCTCCCAACATAGGTCCATTAAAAAAGGCTGTATCAGCAACGGATTAGATCCTTCAGCTGCTCCTATTGGTGACATGAATAATAACTTTGACTCAAAGCGACATGATTGTGGAGACCTTGATAGCGGGGCGAGTAGCAGTTCTAGAGGGCGTGACTCGTACGATATGTCCAAGCGTTCGTTGCAGAAACAGTGGAGGGAATTCGAACGCCCAGACTCCTTTGATGCTTCTGAGGATTACCATTCTCAGGAACTGTCATTGGGACTTTATCAAAGAGAGGGACTGGATGCCAGGAGAACTAATTTGGTACGTGCATAACTTATCAGAACCGTAACATTTTTCATATTATTAGAACCGTACATACATGTCCAGTTGTAGCTTATAAATCTGGCTGCTAAGGAAGATGCTGATTCGACGCATTTCTTCTGAAAAGCAACCTGTAATTCGAAACTCTTGGTGTAAAAAGAAGAACCTTGTAAGCTATAGCAAGTGAGATCGGTTTCGGATACTATTTGCAAAATAGTCATTGAGTTAAGAGCCAAATAAAGAAACGTGAAACTGATTAGGATTTAGCAGCTTATGGAGTACCTGGTTTCTTTCCTTAGCTTTTTTGAACGTAGGATGTCATGCTAGTCAAAAGCTTTTCCTGTTAATGAAAGTGAACGATGAAGATATGCCTACTGTAATGGGCTGTCCTGTACATTAGGTTCCACAGTGGGATCTGAGTAGAGAAGTTGGACCAGGAAAACAGTCAATTGGAGTAGATGAATTATTACAAAGATGTTAGCTTTCCTGTTCTGATTGTGCTTGATATCCTACAGGGGTTGAAGCATCAGGGAGACAAGGTTGAGTTTTCTGGACCGCTGTTATCTCAGCCGTCTCAGAGAGTGGATGAACTATTGCAAAGGCACGAGCGCCACATCCGGCAGGTGATCCGCAAGTCATTGTTTCAAAGAGGTAAGTAAGAAGGATCCCAGTAAGCCGACATAATGAGATGTTGATTGATTTTTAATATATTGTATAGTGGATAGATGTCTTTACTTCTCTTACACACCACAACCACTCTCCTCTCCTCTCCTCTCCTCCCATCATTATTATTAAAGCCTCAAGGTTGCCTGGAAGCACGATGAAACTAGCAGTGATATTAGAATTAACTTGTGGCACCATGTGGCCAAATGGTTCAATGCCCATCATCATCATCATCATCATCATTTGCCGTCACATAACGTAATGTTCTAGAACGTCATGTCTGTGAACAACTTTGTAAAATGAAGCTCGATACCCATGAATTGGTGCAGTCCCACTTTCACTAACTACATCCATCATGTTGCTTTACAATATCCAAACCACCCACTAGCTAGTCTTCTTCATGAACCTCAACTTAAACTGAGTTACTTCTTTTATTTACACATGATCTTGAACATCAGGCAAGAAGCATGGGAGGTGACACTGGGCTCAGAAATCTTGAAGCAGGGGACAGTGCCGGAAGGAGCTGAACCCAAAGTTTGAAGAATGCAGAACATGCTCCTCAGAGAACTGGAAGATAGAGAAGCTTGTGATATGGAAGTTGGGTTGCTAGCTGCAACATTAGGGTGAATGGGTGGGGTGGGAAAAAGGAAAAGATTGCAATTTGGCATCTGCCCTCTTCTCTTTTTTACCTTTTCTATTTGTATACTGGGTAACCCTCGCATATTAGATGGAAAAAGGAAAAGGTTAAAAAAGAAAAGGCTGAAATCGAGTGTGTGAAGAAAGACAAGTATAGGAAAGAGGAAATGTCATCATCAGCCAGACAGGCAGACAGCCAACATCATTTCTCTCTTTGTGCGATATGATCTTATGATGCCAAGCTCCATAAAGCATGAGAATGAGAGGATTATCCTTTGGCCATTTTATCTATCTATCTATCTATATAAATATAAAATATATTAAAGGAGTTAATCGCATTCCTACCACGTTAGCCTTCTTGAAAAATTAGGTTATCCACGTCAGATTAAAGAAAATGCAAAATACACTTGTATAGTGAATTTTGAAAGTTTCATAACAAATATAGTCATTTCCGTTACAAACTTTAACGGAGTCTGTAACACCGTTAATTATTTTAACCATACGCTTACTGGACTGCCAGCTCACCAGACACGTCATCACAATTCAACAACACTTGCCACATAGATGCCATGTCATATTTTACTTTAAAAATAAATAAAAAATTCATAATTTATTTTCTCATCCTCTCTCCTCTCCTACCACTCAATGCCTCGCAAACTCAGCATTACCTAACAATAAAATTGTGCCGCCTTCCTCCAGATCCAGGATCTTCTTTTAGCGAGAGAGATCTCCGTCATGCACCTGATCCGGTTAGTGGAGATTGGAGCTTGTGTTTCTGGAGATTGGATTGGTGGATCGACTGAAGCAGCAGAGGAGCGTCGGAGGTCTTGCGGAGGAAGGGGTAATTAAGTTCGTTCTCGTATAAGGGTTTCTTCCTGTTTCAACATAAGAATTTGAAATTTCTAGAACCCAAATCCAGCTTCGTCTTGTCCTCTTCCTTCCTGAACCCTTGTCGGCGATTTCTAGCCTTTCGAGAACCCAAATCCACCTTCGTCATTACCCATAACAAAAAAATCCACCTTCATCTTCTCCTCTTCCTTCCTGAACCCCTGCCGGCGATTTCTAGCCTTTTCAGAACCCAAATCTAGCTTCGTCTTCTCTTTTTCCTGAACCCTTGTCAGCGATTTCTAGCCATTTCCAAAATCCAAAATCCAGCTTCGTCTTCTCCTCTTCCTAAACCCCTGCCAACGATTTCTAGCCATTTCCACAATCCGTTTCTCTACTACGCGCAACAAGCCCGCAGAATCACACATAACTGTAGCTATTCCACAGCTGCGGGCGCCACATGTAAATCACAAACTCGAAGATAAACCCGACGACGAGACTCAGGTCGCGGTATTAGATCTGCGTTTGCAAGTCGAGTTCCTGCTTTCATTTATGGTTTTATTTCTCTTCCCTTCTCTAACTACCTCGGCTCGAGCCCCGAGCGTCAAAGCAAACATTTTTTATTCCCCACATTGTCAGATCAAAAGGCTGGGAATTCGGGATTGGGAAATGTTTTGATGGGTGGGTGTGGGATTGAGTGAGTATATGGATCCACCGCCCAATTTGAACAATAGAGGAGGTTTCTTGAGGAAGCGTCGGGACTTGGAGGAGGCCGTCTCCACCATTAATTTGATTATATTACCAGTGCGGGGAGAGGCAGACCAGAAGAAAAGGAGAAGAAAAAGAGGAGGAAGAAGAAAGTTGGATGGCGGTGGGGAAGACTAGGAATATTAAGAGAGATGGATGGGTTGATTTTTCCTATCTTTTTGTTTTTTTTATGATTTTCATATTATTAAAAGGTAATACATTTTCATTTAGTATATTTTTTATATAAAATTGCCACATTAGCAAAATCCTACGACAAAATTGGCTAGAAGTGCTCGCCACGTCAGCATCTCCGTTTGTCTAGTCACTTAGTCAGACTTAGCACTAACACCGTTAAAGAATTAAGGGCAAATACAATATATTAGCCATAACTATTAAGCAGCGGGGAATTATAGCCACAATTATCGAAATACAAATTATTAGCCAATCGTTAAGTTTTCATTAACACTTCTGTTAGTAATGATGAATAAACTTTTACGATGGTGAGCTGGCTCCCACGTGGCAGTCATCATATCATATTTTTTACGATGCTGACATGGCCTTCTACATTAAAAATTTGAAAACAGTAACAGGCTGTTAGCCAAATCTTGACCCACAACAATAGTTATGGCTAATAATTTGTATTTCGATAATTGTGGCTATAATTCCCCGCTACTTAATAGTTATGGATAATATATTGTATTTACCCAAGAATTAAATAGAAGTGGCTATAAGTGGTATTTCTCCAAAATGGGCTATTATTGACACAAACGTTAAAGTTTTGGCTATACAAGTGTATTTTGCCTTAAAAAAAAGCCTCTTTCATTCTCTCTCCATCCTCTCTTCAAGAAAAAGTATGCCCTCTTCTCCACCAATCGATCCCACCTTCACTCATAGCTTCCTTCTCCTTTTTCTCACCGACCGTTAACGCATTCAGTTCTTCTCCCAAATCTCCCCACCAGTAGCGACAAAACCTGGAACTTCCCAAATCCACCCATTCTACTACCCCCAAATCTCGCATCAATTGCGCCTTCCTCGGCACGTCCGGTGAGGATTTCGCCTCGACGAAATTTGCCACCGCTTTGCCTTTCCCACCACCCAGAAGCCGCGTCCGACGAAGCTACGCAATCCGCATCAAATTCTACCTCATAATAATTAGGCACAGGCAGTAAATCACATCCTAAAATAGTACCCAATTAAGTTGCCGGTTTTATTCCGCTACTCTACTGCGATTTTTTTTGCTTGCCATGGATATTCCTTTGCTACCCTTTCACATTGATTACCGCCCTTCCATATTCTCTTTGTCCATGCAAGTTTCATAGTTAAATACTTAGTTGTTTAGTTAGACATTGGAGGGGTTGTTTGGAAGTTGCGATTGTTAAATGGATGTATTATTGTGAATACATGTATAATATTACACATGTATTGTCGAATTTGATGCATTGTAGAATACAACGTTTGGTATGTCTGATTGTTTATGTCACATCAGCTAAAAGCTGAGACAAAACAATCTCAAATCAACTATCTCATCAATCACAACGAAAAGTTGAGATATAACAATCACTCATTTTGAGTGATAGTTTCTGTCACATCGCAGAAACAATCCATGCATTGTTTCTGATAAAAAAACGATGCATTCTAAACAATACATGTATAGTAACAATCTCAACAAAACAATCGCAACTACCAAACGACCCCTAAGTAATGTAACAGAACATGGTGCTAACTAATGGTGCTACTGGTTCTTATATATGTTTGCTTGAGGAAAAGTTAGCTTTGTGAACTGATTTTCATAGCACACGGTGATAATTTTGTTAAATCCCATTTGCATCTAAGAGAGATATCCCATTATGTTATCCGAGACTATCCTTTTGTTAAATAAAATTGGTTAAATCTCTTCCTTTTAACATATTATAACACAAGTCCGTAAGAATTAATAAAAATCGAGGAAGGAGGAATACGGAGAAGGGAGAAGAGAAACAAGAACACGAAGGTGTCAATGCTTGAACTTATGATCATGCTATAAGTTGGATGTAGTGGATGTTGTACTATCAGACATTGGTATTGAATCTCTTCCTGCATATATAAAGTAGCATAGAATTCTTTTTGTTGATTAATTAAGCTTTGTTTTCCATTTCGGGAAGGTTACTTTGCAGTTGCGTTCTTAATTGTCAATTAGTTAAATTCGAAAGAGGTGACAATGATTTTTTATTTGTTTGTGATTATGAACACATGTTTAATTTATAAGTTTGGTTTGATGGTTTGGCAAACGAAGAAGAATCAAATCATTGATTTAGTAGTAAAATTCGATGATTTATTAAAGAGTGATTCAGGCATAATTTTACACATTTTATCCCCGTTTTTCTTTGGCGTTTGTGGCATCATTCCAGATGATGGGGAAGGACCTTCGACCCGTGAGAGGTAGCCAACGAGTGAGATATATGGCAGAGTCGATTTCTTTCGCCCCACTTCTCCACTTCTCCACTTGGAACTTTGAACTCTTTTATTTTATTTTTCTTTCTTTTATTTGGTGTGTGTGAACAACTACTGCTACTATCATACTGTTATGTGTAATAACCTCGTCTCGAGCGAGGATGTGTTTGTGTTTGTGTCTTCTCCTTGAAGCTCAAATATCCTACCCAAAAAAATTCCAACTTTCACTCACCAAACCATGCGGTAACTTCATTCTCCCCTATCTTACGCCATTGAGGGCAATGAGGAACTTAAGTGTAACACCCTACCTTGTATTCTTGTTCAAAATATTTCCCTTAACCAATTGATGCTTGGTTTACCTAAAATCTTTATATGAAGCGCATAGAAAATGAAGTTGTATTTCAAACTTGTATTGTCTAAAACCTTTGCTTGCAAAATCTTTACGGATTCCATAAGTTTAAATTGAAATATTTGTGTAGAGTCAGTTCCACCGCCCACCTCTTAGCCATTCGGCCGATATTACTCATCCATCTCACTCTACTGATGTCGTTCTAGTCCTGTGAGGGAAAAATATTGATGGGGTGAGACGTCACTCAATGAGTAAATAATAACCTAATATAAATATTAATACGAAAATGATATCAGGCTACATTGTGACTTGGAGTGTCTTTTGTTCGTCATACTCAGTGTATATTTAATCACTTAATAACTTTACTTAAGTCTCACCTTTGTAGATTTATACGGAACTTCTTTCATCACCCATTCAATCTTTCATACATACATTATGGGTCTTTCCTTCAAATTTTACATATATGTCATATATCATTCGTTTAGGGTTTACCCCTTTCTTTACCCTACATGGTGTTGCAGATAGTTTGTATTCATTCTTATATCCCATACCAAATTTTTCCTTCATATTTTCACATTTCTATAACAAATCATCATGGGATGTATAACATTATACACGTCAACATCTCATGTCACTATCATAATTAAATCCATATATCATTACTGCTTATAAAACAGATTCCTGATCAATAGTGGTACTACTCATCATAGGAGGATCACAACATGTACCTCATATCACTTGATATGACATATAAAACACATCAACCTTCACACACCACATGTAAGGGTTCACATTCTATATATCAAATATGGCAAATACTGATTCCCATCTCAATCACGTATCACACAAATATGATAAATAGTAAGATTAACATTCACATACTCATGTCCATAATCAACCAAGAATCAGCATCCAATCACACACATACATAT